ACCATAACATTAAAGCACAATTCCCATTTTTCCTTTTCCCTAATTTGACCAATGTACTACGTTTTTCATTGGGGTTAATTTCACAAACGGTCGCTGAACGTACGCAAAAATAACAAAACGATCACTAAAGTTCAAAACTTGTAGAAACGATCACTGAAGTTTCATGTGCTTTCATAAACGGTCACCGGAGGACCGTTATGCTTTTAATTCAAATATAAATGATCAAAGTGAGCTACCCGAATTTTGGACAGTTTGGAGATGTCAAATTTGGATCACATAACTCCGTCTTTCGGCTACCTTTTGCTATGGACCAATATACCATATTGAAACCCTCAATTCCCTCTTCACAACCCATCCAACCACCGACCGTTACCCGTCTTAATTGGCAGGAAAATAGAGCCAAATATGGGCTGCCCATGGGCGTCGCCGGAAGAGGGTAGCCCACTTTGGCTCCTTTTTTTGGCCAATTCTGACTAGATCACGGCCATTGGTTGGATGTCTTGTGAAGAGGGAACTGAGGGCTTCAATATGGTATATTGGTCCATGGAAAAGGGGGTCGGAGGACGGAGTTATGGTGATCCAAAGGTGGCACCTCCAAACTGTCCAAATTTCGGTTGTGCGTGGGTAGCTCACTTTGGCGCGATTTTTCGACTAATTCCGGAGGGATCACGGCCAGTGGTTGGATGAGCTGTTAAGAGGGCATTGATGGCTTCAATATGGTATATTGGTCTGTGGAAAAGGTGGCCAGATGACGGATTTAGGTGGTCCAAAGTTGGCACCTCNAATTGTGGGCTTCAATATGGTATATTGGTCTGTGTAAATGTTGGCCTTAGGACGTAGTTAGTTGGTTCAAAGTTGGCACCTCCAAGCTGTCCAAAATTCGGGTAGCTCACTTTGTCGCGATTTTCCCGCCAATTCCTGTGGGATCAAGGCCAGTGGTTAGGTGGGTTGTTAAGAGGGCATTGAGGTCTTCAATATGGTATATTGGTCCGTGGCAAAAGGTGGCCGGAGGACGGAGTTATGGTGGTCCAAAGTTGTCACCTTCAAGCTGTCCAAAATTCGGATAGCTCTTTTTGGTCCTTTATGTTTGAATTAAAGGCATAACGATCCTCCAGTGACCGTTTGTGAAAAAAACTTAAACTTCAGTGATCTTTTGTAAAAGCGCATGAAACTTCAATGACCGTTTTTACAAATTTTGAGCTTCAGTGATCGTTTTATTATTTTTGTATAAGTCCAATAACCGTTTGTGAAATTATCCATTTTTCATTATAAAAACCAAAAAACAAAAAAGTCAAAAAATTGGTGGGACAAGTGACCCACCATGCCCTATACTAAATCTGCCATTGACCTCAGCAAATCAAAACGCAACACATCGATGACCTCAGTAAATGTTTAACTCCCAAAGTATTTTTAGTGGCTCAAGATTCAAGGTAAAGTGAAGGACCATCCTACTGAAAGTTATCGCTGTACGTCAGGCGGGTGCTACACGAACCAACGCAGTAGCCTGGTTTAATCCGTAAGACAAATCCTTTACTAGTGTAATGGTGTATAAAACGTTAATACTTTGCATTATACGTAGGATAAAATATTTACACTTCCAATTTTCAACCATTGTGGATAAACATTATCCAAATAATGCAATTCACAGAAGCAAGCATAAAACATGAAAACTACAGAACAGCAAATGCAGTAATAAAATTCCCTCTCAAATCTATCTTAGAACCATTTCTGATGTGTAAAGTAATTCAATCAATCATAGATACTTTCCAATACAACATTGGACAACCCATTCAAATTACAAGGCTCTATACAAGAATACTAATATAACAAACAGA